AATGTGAGTAAGTTATCAAAATAGGTTTCCTCAAGAGAATGAATTCTCTTGGTTGCAGCTGCTGCTGACTGTGGTTGTATTTAGTCTTTGTTTCCGAGTTACCGTTGTACTTAAGCAGGTGCCAGTAGCACTAATAAGCTGTTCCACAACATAGATATTAGCATCTTGAATTATGCTGTGTTTACACTACTTCTTTGTCTATGAAGGTTTATTAGTATGAAATTGTAGAAGTGCTTTTTGTTATCTTAATTTAAATAAAAGGGGGTGGGATACACAGGATAGATTATCTTGTAAAATTTGTTTTTTCACAAGTTGAATGTTTCCCTCTGAGAAATACATACCATGACTTTCTCTTCCATTTTGTTTGTGTCCACATCGCTGTGAGACTGTGTTTATAAACCTTTTTTCCCAGGTTTTTTTTTGCCACCTTCTGATGTGATACAGATCAACCCCCAATGGCAGCACACATGCAAGACTTGTGTCATAACCATGGAATGATAACAGATGTGATTTTTTTACTAGAGCAGTAGAAGACTGGAAATTTATTGATGCACACCTGTTCATTAAGACTTTTTTTATACAGCATCAGTCCTGTGACTCTAATAGGGGCAGTTTTAAGACAAGATTTTAAGTTGTAAGTAAATTTTCAAAGGTGTTTCGGAGAGTCCCCTTTTGCTGTGGTAGATGGCTGTGGATCACTCAGAAAGGTGACTTGCTTTCATCGCTGTAACAGTGGATCCCTAATTAAGGAGCTAGCATTGGCACTGGAGTGAGGTGAATTTCAGGGTGTGGATCATATGTAACTGTTTTCTTCCTGGTGTCTTTTAGGATGAAATTCGCAGGGAGATGGTTTATGTGTATCATTCTTTAAAGAACAGGAGAGACACTCACATGATGGGGACAGAGGATGATACAGCTAGTGAGAATGGCACATCACAGGTTTGTTCTTGCACACACACTCCCCCCTAAAAGTTACATTGCCAAAGTGGATTTTGCTGCATTAGATGAGCTTGCCCGAAGTGGTATCAGGGCTTGGGTTCTGCTGTGTTCCTCAGCACCCAAAGCATTTCTGCCTGCCCTTCAAGTACCCAGATGAGCTGATGCTGCAACACAGAGGCAGTTAATAGTAGACCTAAGTAATGTAATCTCATGCTTAATTAAATGTTTGAGATGTTAACAGGATGTCTTGCGCATGCCTCATGTCCTACTTAGCTAAGCTACTGGAGCAGTTAGAAGCGTCTCTTAGTTGTGTGTCCTTCAGCACATCCTTTATTGAGGCTCCTGGATATGCTAGTACATGTTCCACAGGGATCACTGCACCTCGTTTTTCTGCCTGTAAACCTCTGTACCCACTGGAACACACTGCAAGGGATGTCCCTTTTAGGGTGGGGTGGGTCAACACTGGGAAGAGTGAAAGGTAAGGAGGGAACTTTTTATATTGTTAGTAGAGCTGCAGATGGTTTGTCTCCATTCCTATTTGCACATACAATGTGCTTTTGCTCAAGTCATAAATACTGCTGAAGCAGTAAGCTTGGGAACCTTTTGTTCCACTTCATGAAAATGAGTTGCTCTAGCTTAGGTCTGTGATCTGAAACACTTGAATTCAGGTCTGCACATATATACCCTAGAGGGAAAACAGAACACAGCCTGTCCTTGTCTCAGTAATCACAGCAAGGCTTTTTGCCTGGTAGTTATTTGCCTTTTAAGGTAAATCTCACTGGTCCTGTACAGCTGAGGTTATACACTGGCACCTGGACAATACATGCAAATCCCAGCATACACCTTCCTGCTCTTAACGACTCCAGCCCCAGTAATGGAGGCCCTCGGTGCTTGCCAGACTAAGGCCAAAGACTGCCTGTGGCAGCTAGAAATAAACTTCTATGGCCTTCCAAAAATAATGTGTAGGGTTAGGCAAGAGTGTAAATTTAAAGTTATTTCATTCTTCTATGCGAAAACTGTGGGAGGAAGACATGCCATAAACCTGCCTACCCTGTAAAGGGTGCTAGACCATGTGAGAATTCAGCTTTTTCTGCTAAGAAAGGCAGCAGGATAAAATTACCTTGTGGAGGATGCTCTCAGTGTGATGTGGCAACGGAGCACAGACCTGCTGCTCCATACCCACAGCCTCACACACTGTTGTGCAATAAGGACACTGCACTTTGCTGAAAGATTTCCCCCCCCCCATTTCTTTTTCCCCAGCAGACTCACGGGCTGCGGTTCCCTTTGTCATACTTGGATGCTCTGAAGCAGATCTGGAGTAGCAGCACTGTTAACGTTAAAGACCTTAACCTTACCTCAGATGAAGAGAAAGAAAACCTCGCCTTGTCGCTATGGTCTGAATGTCTAATTGAAGTTCTTTGATGCTTTTGTGAATTAGCTGCTCCTCTAAGGAGTATTTCTGGCTGTTAACCATCTCTTGAGAGCTAGGCTAATTAAATTACTTTTTCATCCATCCAGCCTCTGGTCTGTAGTGCTGTCTGACAAAGCATTGCAATATATTCACTTTGGTACTTTCTGGTGCCCAATACTACTTTTCTTTCCTCAGTTTTGGGAAACCTGGCATGGGGAAAACAGGTGAGCTGCTCATTGTCCAGTCTGTGGATGGACGAAGTCACTCCTAGTAACACCAGTGCTGTAGTATTCCCTTCCCTCTGGATAGATGCCTTGATGCAGAAGGGACATCTAAAGGTATACATGGCACAGGCTCCAGGACCTTAGGCATAAAACAGTAACTTGTCTTTTCATTTGTAAAGTTCAGCAAGAAAACCTATTACTTCTGTTTGTTTGCCTTGACAGAACAAAATCTCTGTAAAATGTCTGTGTGGTGTTCCCAAAGGGGTATGACTTTGCCCAAGAAAACCCCTTTCCTCTCAGAAACTCCCATCACTGGAATAAACAAACAATAATATTTAACCTTTACCTCTCCAGTAGCAATTTAATGTGAAACTAATCCAAAAACCTGTACCTGGAATGTGTATCTTCCATGCTCCCTTGAGTGGGTTTTGATGGGAGTAGTGCAGTTATTTCAGTACTTCACTGATTTTTAATTTGCAAATTCATGTAATGCACAGCCACATATTCAATATACTTATCCCTTTTTTTGTCCATTCGCAAAGAAATATTTTACAGGAATGTGCTCGACATCTGCTAAAAACTACTGTTGTGTTTAGTTTGTTTAAAAAGAAGCCAACAAACAAAATGTTCCTCCTAAAAAGTTTTATACAGTTAAAATATACATGCTTCAGCATTTTACATTCAAGGTCTCTTAAGTACAAAAGCCTGCTTGACTTTGTTATGTAACACTGAGACACCAAATATGATTTAGTCATTCTTCATTTAAAAAAACTACAACTTTTTACACAGGCTTTAAAAATTTGATATGGAAAGCAAGTCACGTGCAGAACAGTTGATGTACTGAAGTACATGGAAACAAGCTAAACAAGTGCTTTCATTGGAAAAATATATACATACATTTGAGGATCTGTTATTCAAACAGCAGATCTATGATAATTTTAGAATGTCAAATACTAAGTGCAAGTAGATAGGGTTTTTTTTAAATAATACTATATAGAACTCCATTTCATACAAAAATAGACATCTATATATTTTATTTCTATGGCAAACTTAGGGTTATGTCTCTATTTGTTTGGCGACGATCCTGTTTGAGTGAACAACTGGAATAGTTACAGCTTTTGGAAACTAAATATCTGTCTTTATCTAACCTGAACTCTTTAAATAGTCCTAGAAATACATACTCTGAATATACAAATATGGGAAAAAAAGAGACATTTTCCATGAAGTAGATTACTTAAGTGATGCTGAAACCAGTGATCTAAGGGACTTCTCTTCCATGTCAGGTGTTCACAGCCCCACAACTGTCTGCGGTTCCATCAGTGTTGAGCCAGGAAGATGCTTTTCAAAGCCTGTAACAACTGCAGTCCACTAAGGTCTATGACTGCCTGTCTCAAGTGATAACTACTAGGCTGGTTGCATAGCGTGGAAATCGAGGAAAGCACCTGCACAAGGGCTGGACTGTTAGTCCAAGCCCTCATCCTTTGGGCCAACATGTGCATATTGTTGATGAGCCACAGTAACATTAACATGCAGTTAGGCTGTTCTGTTAACATTTAGCAAGCACTGGAATGCAGGCTGCTAGCACCTTTGAAAATCCATGCTAGGGTGAATTTTTTTCTGCAGGAAGACATGGTTTCCAGACCAAATGACATTTTATTAAATTAAGCTATTTACATCTAAACTAAATACAGCTACAGTTAAAATCATTGCTGCTTTCAATGCAGCTGAGCCCTTGTAGAAGTGGTACCTGACCCAGGACCATTTATCCCTGTTGTGATACATGTACATATGGCTCCATGTTAAAGGTGATCTTTAGTGATAACTCCTGATTTCGTGGGCAGCAAACAGGCCGTGGGTCAGCAAAAACAGTTCCTGAATCTGAAAACTGGGTACTGTTAAAATGAGTGAAGACAAGGCTGACCACTATTATTTTGGGGGTGAAGGTCAGGCTTTCTCAAAACAAAATGAACTGCATTTTAGCAAGAGACATAATATGGCTGTCAAGATCGCTTGGAGTCTAAACAGTTTCACTTGGGAAATAAAAGTCCCAACTGCTTTCAAGCTCATCAGTGCAATCATTCCTCAGTGAGCTTCCATCAGTGTGAGGGGAAGGTGAAGACAACATTTCTGAAGAGCCCTTCCTATGTTACCTTTTGCAGTTCCTGTCCTGCAAAACCTATGTCTAGTCTTTTGTATTTACCTTTCATCCTTAAGATGAAGAGTAATAGTAACTTTCATAGGAGCAGCCTCTAAGGAATCACCTTCCCTGCAGAGGGACATTCCATCGCCCTCCCATCTTCCAGATTTGTGCAAAATTCAGTTCTCTTAGGAGCTGGTGCTCAGCATGAAGGAAAACAGGAGTTGCTGCTTAAGGTTCCAGTGGTGTGTGACTTCAGTAGTTGGGTTCTGTTCTTCCCCCTCTAGATGTTAACAGCCCACACAAGGCCTACCTGCGGGGTGGGTTTTACTCACAATATTTCAATATCCCATTTTTGTGAAGGTTTGTCTTCTATTGGCTGATTCATAATGATGTGATTCTTGTCATAATAATTTCCTCCTTAAAAACAGAAGTCACAAGGGAAAAAATTTTAAACTACATGCTCATAAAAATCTATGCATAATCTTTAATAAGTGTGACTAAATAGGAAAAATAGCGAAAAATAGAAATTCCATGAGGTAGGGGGCTGGTGTCTGCCCTTCTCTGTATGTCTGTCTCCTTTAAATGGTCATTATACCATAAATAACAACCTACCACAAGAAATCTGTGTTCTAAAGAGCTATCAAGTTTTATCTCACCTCCCCAGCTCTCAACATTCTGTTTTGCAGTGACCTAGGCAGCACAGCCCTCTGGTACTGTAAGAGCTGCCACCAGCATCCCCACTTGGATTTAATGGCTTGTAGTAACTCTTTATGAATTAGTGATGGTGGTTAAATGCCTTAGCTCTGGAGGCCAGTGATGCTCCATGAGTTCAGTGTCACAGGGCTGAGACTTTCTGCTCACTAAGCCTGAGCTGCAGAGGTCACACAGCCAGCAGGACATGCACAGGAAAGGCCGATGGCTTCACCCATGAGGTGTACTGCTGATTCACCTGGGGTGTACTGATCTGTGAGCCCTGCACTGGGTGTTAGACTGTCAATTTACTTAGACCTTTCCTCTGAGAAGAGAACACCACAGAGCCCTTAGCCTTGGAACCAGCCACTGCTGTCACTGTCCCCTGTCTCCTGAGGGATAAAACCCCAGTGGCAGCAGTAGGCTGGAAGAAACTGTGTGTGAGGAACAGGCATTTTCCACTGAGGCAGTTCTACTATAATGGATAATTAAAAGCACTAGAACCTGAGCAATGACAAATTTAATCAGTCTTTTTTCAGTTTCCTTTCTCTTTTTGAGACACCTATTCTGTGGTTGCTTTTCTTTCACCAGTTTGTCTTCTGTAACTTGCATTTCTTGCCATTAGCACTACTTAAGTCCCTAAAGTACAGTAGCTGATCTGGTCAAAATAAACCAATGGAATCAAAAGAGTAAAGTTCTTCCCTGCCCTGTTGTTCCTTGTCCTACTGTCAAGCAACTGGATGTAAACTTAACAAGAAAGCCAAGATTCAGTTTCTAACCTTAAGCATAAAGAAAAGCTGGAATATAGCAATTAACCTTAGTAAAAAAATGCACTTAAAACATGTGAGGTTTAGGGTTTGTTTGTTTGTTTAAAATACCTTTAATATCAAGCACCAGTTGTTCACTCAGGTATGAACTGATGGTTCCATCCTCATTGAGTCTCCACTTTTGCCTGTCCTTCCCATGTTCTGCCCAGAGTGCAACTTTGGCCCCAGGAACATCTCTGCCACCAATGACATCCAGACAGGCATTGTTAGCCTAAGGAACAAGAAGAGAAGTGAGATCCAGGCACAAAGTCTCAGTTTTGTGCCTGACTAGTTTCAGGCACGGAGCATATGGCAGCAATTGTGCCGTAGCTGGTGAGAAGCCTGGTAAGCAAGCTGGGAACAGATTATTCAGCAATTGACCAACTGCTTGGTGGTGCTCTTTGTAACTTCAGGTTTTTATGTTAAATCATCAGCTTTTTGTACTAGTAACAGACTATCAAGGGCAGCATTAATAGAAAAATCACTTACTTATTTTGCATATTATTTTTCAGATAAATTCTTAACTCTTTAGAGGTAATAAATTTAAGCTTGTGACTTTAGACAAAACTAGGTTTCCACTGTTTTCTATTTCCAGGAATATCAGTCCCATTAGACAGATGCGAAAAGTAGCTCAAACTTGCCCAAGCAGACAAAACAATATAGAAATATATTGTTGAAGGATGTAGGTTGTAAGAGTTTTGGTTTAAGATGCACAAGAGAGACCAAAACCTATCCAGGTGTTAGTGCTAGCCTAGAATAAAAGCAAATGCAAAGGTGAAAGGAGATCAGGGATAGAAACCACCCACTTCCAGCATCTGTAAACTCACCTTGGACTTGAAGAGCCCACGAGAGTAGTGCCAGACCTGGGTGTTCTTGCTGTTGTATGGGGACGCGCACACTGACGTCGCCCTTACATCTGCCAGGCTTCCAGCCACTGTCAGGTACTTCCCCTGGGCTCGGTTCTTCACTCTGAGGTACACTGCTGGCTGAAATGGTGTGAAGGAACAGTTATAACACAGGGATTAAGAAAGTTGATGTGAGAGTGCCTCCCCCTCCACCTTCCATCATAAACAGTATGTTCGATTTCCAGTTTCAGACAAGGATGTTCAGTAATTTTTTTGCTGGAAACAAATGTGCATGTGAAGCAGTAGTGAGTGGTTTTCATGTGCAGACAGGCAGCTCTAAGCAGCAATGGCATGTAGGTTTTTTACAAAATTGTATTTATGGCTACAGAACTAATTCCTGTGATATGCAAATATGCCTAGTTCAGCACATTTCACTCATTCCAAAGCCAGTAAATGGGCTGCACTCCACAAGTAGTCTTGGGACACAATGCTTACTGAGTTATGTATCCAGCAATTCAACACCCATTAACTGGAATATATGGCAGAGAGATACACCATTGCTCTTGAACATACATGGAAAACAGGCTTGCTATCCCTGTTTACTCATAAAATAAGAGGATTTTGTAGGGTTACTACAGCATTTGAGCTTTTGCTCTGTTATTCCCTGATTTCGGCACAAATAAAGAACAGGGAGTTACAAAGGGCAGCTCTGCTGGCAACCCAGCTCAAGTGTAGTTTTTATTCTGGGAGCTTTGAATCTCCTTTTTTTTTTTTTTCATGCTAAAGCAAACCCTCAGGTATAGACAATAAAGCCTCTCTCCCACCAAGCATCCATAAACATGTATTAGTATAGTATATAGTTATTCTTTACAAGGAAAGGATCGTATTATGAAGTCACTGAGCAAAGTCTGTGTCTCATTTTGTGTGACTGGGCACACAACATGTCTTTTGACTGATCTAGACCTTATGTGTGTCACTGATGACCTGATGTGCCTTGGAAGGGCGGCTTATGTGTGTCTGATGACCTGATGTGCCTTGGAAGGGCAAAGAAGCACAATTGTACCTGCATTTCCTTGAATGAGGGACATTTATTTCAGTCTTGCTTCTCCATCTACCTTTTGCAAAGTTCCTAAGAACTTTGTGGTTTTGAGATTTCAGTCTTCGAATAAGATTGGAATGGGCATTACTTGGGGTGAGGTGGAGAGGGAAAACCTAATGGGACTGTATGAACTTTGCCTCTTTTGGAAATCCAGGCTACAACACAATAAAATTTGCTCTTGCTTCCATTTATGTTAATTATGAAACAAGCCAATGTGGAATTGATTTTCTCATTATTGTTATATGGTGAAAAATGTAAAAATAGAGCATCTACAGAACATGCTAATGAGCAATTCAGAAAAACAAAACTTGGCTCCAAGAAACTAGGAATTATTGCCCTTTAGGAGCCTAACATAGATCTCAGTAACTGCCACAAGAGGAATTTTCTGCTGCAGTAATCTTCCAGTAGGTCCTTCTGGCTGTCATCATTTGGCCTGATTTAAGGAGTACAACACACACCGTTGTACTTAGTGGTAGAGCTGATACTTGTGCAGTAATCCCTGTCCTAAAAAACAACCTCTTGTCCTCATACAGTCTCACAGTACCTGCTTCATGGGACGAAGGGAGCCAATTAGTTTCCAGCCACTGTGTTCATTCCAGTTTGAAATCTCACCGGGCTCCAGCAGAATCTGCTTTCCTAAAAAATTACATCCCTCGTATGCAATCCACCTGGATACAGAAAACAGAACATGTTAACCACATGTTAACCATAGCCAGACTAAACCACAGGTCAGGGTTGCACTCTTGAAAGCCCCCAAACTTCTACATAGTGGTGCTAATGTCAGACCTCTGTTCCTGTGCTGCAAAATGCCATCCATGTCAGTGGCTTAACTGCTTTCTGTGGACATTAAGACCTGTTTTCTGTCTGAAACTTGTAAACTCCACTCCCCATCCCCCCTTATTTTTTTCCCCAGAAATAAGAGAACCTCTGCATGAACCCAGATGGGAATAATGCTGGTTTCAGCAGGCATGCATTAGGAAACGAGGAAGCCACACACCAGACTGCACTATTTGCAGCTCTGCTGGTTGTACGTATTAATTATGAGAGGATCTTGTCCGATGTTTTGTTACAGTTAAAACTTTTTACAGCTATTCCACTTGTCTGAAAACACAAAGTATTTCCTCCCAAACCTATACACTCCTGTAACAGACTTGCCTGTAGTGAATATATCTGAGCTATGGACATGGCTGAATCCTTTAACACAGTTAAAGCTCCAGCACATACAGACCCCTCGTTATCTGGGCATCTGCTCAGTAAATGCTGCTCACAAAGGCAGCCTCAGGATCACAGATCCCTTCTGTTTATATCAATAGGACATTGTTGTGAGGACAGTGAATCCTAAATGCTTGACTCATTAACTTCTCTGAACACAAAGCAAATACTGGTTTCCCAGGTTACCTGTTTAACAGGTCAGCTGCCAAGAACATGAGGGATGGCTGCACTCTAAAGTCAGCAAGAAAACATCCACAGTGCTCACAGCACCTGTAATTTGCTTTCCCCCATTGCACATTATTTGGAGAAAGTGACAGCCAGCCTTGCTCAGGACTCCATGGATGCTAAAGTGTGCCAACTGTGAACTGCCTTGGAATGAGGCTGTACCCCTGTTTCTTCAAATAAAGTCCCACACCTCCTGACTAACAGGTATTCAGAGCAGCCTGACCACCCGTGTGTTCCTTACACTTCGAACACATTCCTGACTTTTTTCTTGTGATGTTTTCTGCCAAGTCACTGAGAATTCACTGTTAGCATTGTTCTTGGAGCATGGAACAGTCTCATTTGGAATGCAGTTGCAAAGCAGACATTTATAGGCAACAGAGTGGGGAAAGACTTATCATAATCACCATCTGAAGCCAGGTGAGGCTTCTGGGATTTGGCAACACAGAACTCATCTCTGCTCTCATGCAGGCTGTGCCACTTCTCCCACACCTGGGAGTACCTCAGCATCCATCCTCCTTTGCCAAGCCACAGTCCATGCTTGTGCCATTACTCACTGGTGTGGTCAGCTGGCTCAGGAAGGATCCATGTACCTAAGCTGGCAGCAAGATGCCATTGGAATATTTACATAAATCTTTGCGATTTGCCTAAAGCTGACAGCAGGTTTTGGGGCAAGGAGCCAAAAAACCCCACTAAATCTGCCTTCCTGAACTCTGATTCAGGTAAGGCAAACAAACACTCTAAGACATCCCACAGACTTCCCATGATCACCTGCCATGCTCCACCATTAGGCCACCTATCTGCTGTGTCGGATGGGGACAGGCTGCAGAGGTCTGTTTCCTAGGGAGCATGACAAGAGAAAGCCCAGCCATTCTGCCCTGACCCTTCCCTTCCTAGAGAGAGGGAAGCAGCTAACCTGGCTTGGATATGCAATAATGAGCAGAGAGGTGGAGGAGGGACTAGACTGTTGCACTCATTCTCCTGTGCTTTCTTGCTATGTGGTCCCAAAGCCATCACCCTTCCTTTACAGCCAACTGCATGGGCAAAGTGATTTAATTTCCAGTTCCACATCCCTGATGAGAGGGCAGAGAAAGCTCATAAAGTGATGTTTCCCAACAGGATGAACTTTAGACTAACACCTCCACAGAGGTATGAAGATTCACACACTCCCATCAGAAATAAGGCAGGTGTTCCTCCCAAAGAAGGCCTTTCCTCCTCCAAAGTAGCACAGATCACAAGGAGTGTGTGTATGCAGTTGTCAGCCAAATAGCAGCTGCTTGTCACTCTCACCTGGGGCACCTCCTCAAGACAACAGCAAGCAGATGATTTCTTACTCTGTATTTTCAGCAAGGTTTCAGGATGAAGTGGCACAGATGTTAGGGACTAGAATTTATAGTGAATTGGCAAAGCTCTGTGGGGAAGCTTATATTCATTATTCTCTCAAGAAAATTACATTCTTGTCCATGTGAAAAAGGCAGAGAGAGGTTAACCATAAGCATAGGAAATGTGTGTCACATTAGAAGAACAGCAGTTTCCAGCCATCTCAGTCACAGGATGAGACTCTGCAAGTTATTTGCTGCTGCTGTGGAGGCTGAAAACCTGGCCAAGACAGAATACTTGGGAGTTTCTCCAAAAGGTGAAGGGGGAGACGTGGAAAAGGTTAGAAGGTCACTTCTGCAGATGCAAAATGGTTTTCACAGAAAACTTGGGTGTGTATTCACACTCATGGAAGAGGATTAAACTAATAACAGAAGCAAATTACTGTTCCAGCTGTCAGATACACCCTGAGCTTCTCTCAGAAGCTGCTGCCTCTTTGGCAGCTGGTCAGCACATCAAGTTCCACTGAACCACTGCTGTGGTTTAAATCACTGCAGTTCACAGCTGGTATTTCACAGCCAGTTAATAATGGCACTCCTAGTTTATGCTACCTTTCTTTGTAAGTCAGCAATCAAAACTTATTCACTTTTGGTTCCTGGCTTGAACAACAGGTTCATTACTGTATAGGACAGGGCAAATACACCCTCTGCCCAGATTTTTTGTTCATTTTGGGTCCTGATACAAAAAGTGGGTTTAGCATTCAACTGCACTTTAGAATTTTATATTGTCTCAAAATAAAAGATGCAAACCAATGCAAAACAGCCTAGGCAATAATAATGAGAAAATGCATGGTTAATATTAACTCTTGTAGTTCAAAACTGACAGAAATATTTCTTCCATACTTACAATCCACTTCTCACCCACACAGACTTAGTGCAAAAATGAAGGTTCTCATTCAAAACAGAATTGATGGGTTCACTGAAGTGCAGCTCTCTGCCCTTGCAGCATTCCAGACTGAACAGACTGATGGAAGGCTCAGCAAAAACCTGGAGAAGGGAGAAAAAAAAAGTGTAAAGTTTTAGTAGAAATAATCTAACTTCAGTTGATAGACATGATGTACACATTTGCCCACTTCAGTTTAATTTTTACATGCTTTTAGGTTAGATCATGCTCCCTCAGCAAATGTAACAGCAAGGAAAAAACAAAGCACATAGAGCTGAAACATAATGCATTTATCAGTGGCTTTGTGATCAGTGTAGTGCTCCACTGACACAGGCCAGACACAGCGAGTCACTTCATGATGCAGACAGAAAGGCCTCTGTTTGCACCTGAAAAAACTCATTTTGAACCAATCATCAGGGCCTCAGCTGTTTTTCATAAATCCAGTTTATTTACTTATTGCTGGAACACACTACACCTGTAGTTATCAGGTTGATCTGCATGTTGCATCTAAAGGAGTGAGGCAAATCACAAGTTTGTTGTGCATAGAATTCAATTAGCAGTAGTTCACTGCAAAATTCTTAGGGAGCTACAAATTGGAAAAGATTAAAAAGGTCAACTAAAAAGTTCTCAGTGTTTTTAACAGACATTCCTATTTTTCTTCTGACAATTCTGAAGAAGTAACATAATTAGTAACCCCTTTGATCTCAAGTAGAATTTAAATATTTCACTTAATGTTCTTTTCTACAGTTGACAGATTTCCTAATAAAACAAATAAAAAGATGGGCTTGCATAAAAATGTGGTACAGCTATAAGATCAGCAGAAAAACAGAGGAAACATTTAAATAAATGAAGTCTGTGCCTTGGTACAAGCAGCACTTGTACAATTCTTTTGCAATTACAACCTAAAACCATAAGGGGAATATTGTAACCAGAAGCATAAGTACTTGCAGTTTACATCTTGATGCAACTGGTAAAGGAAGAGGGAACAGGTCTAAGTCTCAGGGAGCAGCCTCTCCAGGAAAGTCACCTTGTTCTTAGGAGATGTTCCCTTGAGATAAGTGGCTCAGGCAAAAGTTAGGATTTCTCTTGCAGGAAAGACATGGCCTCAGGTGGAATGAATAAAACAAAATCTTGAATTAAAGTTGACACAGGCACTGAGTAATTAAGAGAAATTAACTTTCATGTTTGAAGAGGCACATGTATTGTAGTGAAGTGTCTCTGAAGAGCTCAGGGGTGATTCAGGACATATGAATTTACTTGACACTGACTCAGTGCACTTGGTATGTAGCTGGTTGTTAAATTCTGCCTCAGAGAAAATGCTTCCCTCTGCCAACCAGTGCAGGGACAATCTAAGTCATGCAACACTGCATGGACAGAGAGTTTACTGAGACATTTTAAAGAGCTTGGGATCATCCATTCAGAGATATTTGTAAAGCCCACTGTACTCCTTAAAAACTAATGTTACAAACTAAAGAGATTAAAACCTGTAACGTTTTTATTTTGGAATGTCAGTTTTTCCCAAGTGCCTTCTGCTGGATGGGGTAAGTCAAATTTACAGTGTGTGTCTAAAGGCTTACTTTGAAATCCAGACCAGCAGACCTAGTGTAGGCAGCTACTTCTCAGGTTGCTTTGCTCAGCAAGGCAGTGTCATCACACTCCTCTTTGCAAGAGCCTTGGCACTGGCTTTCACCTGAACAGACACCAGAAGTCATGTCCAGAACACGTCCAACAGGGACAATTTTCCCAAGTGCCTTAGTAACCATGGGAAACGCCATTTGGCATCCTTGTTGCTAGACAAAGCCCAAAATGATCCTGCTGTTGCAATATTCACTATGTTAAGAGACAGGGATGCTGTACTACATGGAAAGGTCTTCTGATACGGCATATCCATTTATACACCAAGAACCAGAACACCAGATTGGTGGAGTCAATTCAAATGACTCCAGTTGTCCTGTGGCTGACACTTTTTGCACTGAATGGGCCTGAGAATGCCCTGTCCAGTTGCTCAGAGTCCCAGCCTGTCAGTACACAGCACACATTGTACCCCTGATACACACAGAGCCAATGACAAGGGCTGATACCACCTTCCCAATGAGACCTTGGGAGGACTCTGCTGATCTTGCACAGAAAAAGAAAGCAGGCTGCTGTGTCAAGCACTGAGCTCTCAGATTTCCATAACCATATATAGAGCAATGCTCTGATTCCTCACTTTATATATACTGTTCTATGCCAACGGCTGGCAGCAGTGGCTTGGCCTGGCTTTTTTCTTTGATTTTGTTTTCATAGCTCCATGGAAACTACCAACAGTGAAAAACAAAGGTTTTGAGGCTCCACTGTTATGCTTACTACAGAGGCATCTTGCTCCCACCCTTCCTTGCAGAATGCTGAGGTGCATTTTCACCCACTTTCAGGCTGAAGTTTCATTACTGATAGGTAAGTGTGAGACTAACAGGATGGGCTTTCTTCATCAAGGCCCAGTCCTGATAGACCAGGGATGAATGGGGCTCTGAGTGTCAGGGGACAGAGAACAGGGGAGGACAGGAGGGGACTACCTCAGATGGTGGCACTGCCTTAGGAGGACTCCAGTTCCCCATTTGAAAGGTGAGTTAAAAACATCTACATTTACCCATGACTGGTAAGTCATTCCCACGTCTAGGTCAGGATTACCTTAGCTTCCTTTCAGTTATTTCAAGGAAAATACCCGAAATGTCATCCTTTGAGAAAAACTTGCCCACTGTGAGAATGACAAAGCACTGAAGAATTACTTAACCTGATCTTTGTGTGAAGGAATGAACTGCTTTTGCTTAAACCAGCACCAAGAACATTTCAAGAGGTTTTGTTTGTCCTGTTTTTAATGCCACTGTCCAGGGCACTTGAAGAGATTCAATATATATTCAAGAGGCCAGTGGCTTAAGGAAGGCTATATTTATATAGCACTTCAAGATACAGACAGCCTTGGGAACTGTTAAATACAGTGATGTTCTTTACTTAATAGGTGTGGTAGTCCATGGCTAACACAGCACATGATGCAATAGAAATAATACAGGTAAGCCATGGAAATCAACACACTAAAATCTTGCACAGTTCAACTCAGCTCAGACTTTCCCCTCAATGATGTTTACTTTTTTTTTTTTAAACAGAGAGAAGCTGCGCACCACAATTTTTTCACAATTCAGATTAGATTTTCATACTCTACCGGTTCAGAGAAAGCCACAATGCAAGCCTGAAGTGTTTGGCATTGAACAAAGATCAGTGCAAGATTAGCTTCCTTTAAATGCCTTTTGTTTGCAGTGCAAGGCTTAGGTGCTTGGCCCACTGTAAAACAATAGTGGACAGACACAAAAAGCTGACCAAAGGGCACTGGAACTGAAAACCAAGTGCATGGGTGAATTTTCACACATGCTTATAGTAAAAAAAGCATAGTTTTAGCTATAAATAACATATGGGCAACTTTTCACTGTGAATGTTGTAAAAATTATTACTAACAAAGCCCTGCTGAAAAGGGCTCACCCCAAAACATATTTTTCCTTCCTCACACCTTTTATTTTGCAAACTTTGATGGGAAAGCCTAATAAAGATGAGGAAAGAAATCCATGGGGCTAAATCAAAGCATGACTGTAACCCAGTCACAGCAAGGGTTGGTGCAGTTGCCCACTTCAACGTCCCTGTTGACCTGTTTCTATGCAAACAGGATTCACCACAGCCTCAACTGGAGGAGCCTCCACAGCTGTATTACAATATCCTTGGGAAAATCTCTTGTGTTGACTAACTCATCATTTACAACTGCCTTTACTGAAGCTGTGCTTGTCTAGCTACTCCCTTCAGTGTGGGATGGATGCCTGGCTGAGTGAGAGGAGCACAGTGCTGGACAACAGAACACCCACAGTCCAGTCTCAGCTACACACAATGACTCATTGCCTGGCATTGGGAAACACTAATTAATTTTTATATCTGATTACATTATTTGCCTCACAGGAATGCTGGTAAGATTAGTTAACACCTGTATTTAACTTAGAAAAGAAAATACAGAAATACAAGAACTATCATGATTGATCAGAGCAGGAATAAAGAATGCCTCAGAAGAAAAGGGAACAACCTACAACCTGGATCTCATTTTCAGTTTTAGAAACTATGAGACTAGTTTAACTTAAGGCTGAAGTTAACATTTTAGAATGAAAACTAACTGCTTACTGCAACAACCCCAGTTATTATTGTCCATGGGAAGTCACACTAAATATCACAGGGAGTTTGACAAAACAACCTGCCTGAGAAAAGGCAGCACTACAGCTGAACTCTCTATGCAAGAACATTAGAGTCTCTATCCCAAAAGATTAATCTCTTCAAGCAACAAACACTGGACAAATGCCCCAATAAGCAACGATAAATGACCCAGCTAAAAGGCAAGTCTTGCTGATGCAGGCATGGAAATCTGCACAGCTGCAGCAACCCCTAACCTGTGCTATGCTTTCACTTGCCTGCAGAATGGCTGTTAACACCAATACTAGCAAACTTTATCAACAAGCTTTTCTCAAAGAGTGCTTTGGGATTTTTAGATGAAAGGAGATGATGAGAAGCAAGTTACATTAGTGTCACTGTTCCTAACACTATTGAATTTATGTATTCACTTCTAATGTTAAGTGGTGCTTCCAAAGTGCGTAACTGCCTGCTCACCTAAAGAAATATGTTCCTGTGAGATACATTTTTTACCATATTTTCCCCACTTGTAAAATAGTGTATGAAAAAGATCCATTTGTCTTTCAGAAGCATTCCCCTTTGCATAAGGGAAGAGGCCCTATAACACACTGTTATTCAACATGCAATCTAGATGAATACATAGGTATTGCAAATGTTGGTTTCTCCTCATAGAGTACTGAAAACAAAGGACATTATTTTCTCACTATCAAGGTATAGATACGCTTTGTTCCTTCTCCATATCCTCTCACTAACCTATTGCTTTCCTAAACCCTTTGAGAAGGGCAAAACAGTCCATTCTGAACTTGAGCAAAATGGAACAGCAGGAAAAAAAGCACAGCTAGAGCCTTTTAAGGATTTAGTTCAAGTATTATACACCTTGGAGGAAAAGCAAAGATGGGAAAGAGGAAACTGCATCATCACAAACTGTAGTGACAGGACAAGGGAGAATGGCTTCAAACTGAAAGAGAGCAGATTTAGATATTAGGAAGAAATTGTTTACTGTGAGAGTGGTGAGGTTCTGGTACAGGTTGCCCAGAGAAGTTGTGGATGCCCCATCCCTGGAAGTGTTCAAGGCTAGGCTGGATGGGGCTTTGAGCAACCTGGTCTAGTGAGAGGTGTCCCTGCTCATGGTAGGGGAGTTAGAACTAGATGATCTTTAAGGTCCCTTCCAACCCAAACCATTCTGTGATTCTATGATGGTAAGAAGCTCCTGGGATCAAGGGCACACCTTCACCACACTGCTTATGAACCTGCCTAACTTTTGTGTTGCTACTTCCTGAATAAACAGTAGAGGACACTGGTTGCAAAGATGTGCTAAATTTCTCTATGACACCAGTGTACAAGAAATGGGGAAATAACCAAACTGGAACCAGATAATTTAAATATTTTGAGAAATGGGGTGTGTGTGAAGGAGGTGGGAGCAGCATGCTATACGTCAATGATGAAAACAAGCAGTTGTTAAATTGGCTTGCAAATATTTTGCTTGCACCAAAGGTGCATTTTCCATAGAACAAATCTTTTCCTTATCTTCAATTGGTTGAGATATTTAAGAAAAAAAAGGTAAAGGCTTTGCAGAGTTTCTTAGCTGTTTCACATTAAGGCAACACTGCTACCTCACTCAGTCACAAAAATCCCACTGCCACCTTACAGTACTGCTCCATCGGGTCACAAAACCACAGCTATGCCATGAAGGAGTACTACAAATAGGCAATGATAATCCTCAAATTCTCCTGGATTGCCCAGAAATCTTGTGGCAGCTGACTACATCCAAAAAGCTCCTCAAAACTATTATAGATTCTAAGTCAAAAAACTCAAAAAAGTACACTGAAGGTATTGCTATATACAACAGCAAAAGTATTGTTAGATATTCCTTTTACAGAGAGGAAGAGAAATGACATCTTGATTCAGGGTCAGATGCAGAAATCCATGTGGATGCCCAGCCAAGCTACACACCCTGCAGGCATCATTGGCCTGTGCTGATTGCTACCTTTCACAGCTACTTTGGAGTTTGCCCCACACAAAGAATCCATATTCTTACATACATCCTTGAGATAAAGGCCCAGAGTTAGGACTTTACTCAGCTGTACAAAAATCAAGGTAACATATAGTTATTATCACTACAGTCCTGCAAATTAAAAGGGAATACCCAGATCCCATGTCCCCACTTTCTCTAGCCCACTTGTGGTCCTGTTCCAAAGGACTGGCTGATACAATCTACTTCTAAAATATACAGCTGTACCACACCTACACTAGTCAATGAGCTTGAACTGTTTCCAAAGGCTGGTAAGGAGCTAGCCTTATGAGTCCTTTGTACTCCTAAAAGCACATTGTTTTTCTCCTCTGCCCGTGCCACACATGGGCCTCTTCTAGCCAACATCTGGGATGCAGAAACCTCACACACTGAAGCAATGCATGGCTCCCCCTCAGCACAGAAGTCCTTCACTGTTATACTCACAGCAAATACCTTTCCCATTGAAGGAGACAATACACATTCAGGGCTTGGTGTCACGGGTAAATAGTTCTCCCTCTTACACATAAGCTATCAAGGGACACACCTTAGGTCTGAAATTATGCTGGCATTTAAAGCTGAATAATAGAAGGGGTTCTCAATGTCACAAATTAATTCAATAAAGCTACACAACAATTCCACTTGGGAATACATTTGCTTCTCTCTTGAATGAGCTAACAGAAATATGTTGTAATAAAAAGGGCTCTGTTCCAAGAACAGTGAATTGTGGACAATGCACAGAATTAACTGCGGCTGTTTCTGACCACTGACGAAACCTACTGCTGCGTGCTAAACACCACGTCTGCCACACAATGCCTCTGAGCACTGTCCTGGGCCACCAGCACTCACAGTGAGTTAGGGGCTGATGAGGGCACTGCTTGTGAAACAGGTGGGGTTCAACAGCATTTTATGCTGTTTAGTGCCTCAATTTTGTGACATACAAGGGCTCCTATTTGCCAGGGAGGAACTGAACCAGGAGGTGCAAGACACCTACAAAGCAGAGGAAGACGTGTAAGCATCCCACACACAGCCTGCCAAATACACTTCTTCCAGGACTTGGCCCTCTGTAATCAAGGCTGCCAGTAGCTTCTTTACTATGCCAAACTGCAGAGTTACTTCTCTGTGAGACGGGGAGGGATTTGGATGAGACCTACTATTTCATGTCAAAACTTTACTCTGATTTAGCATAGCAGAATCCAAAAGCCTAATTTGAAAAGGAACTTTAATCTAAAAACCAGGCTCTCAGCAGGTGGAAAGCTATAGCTCCAGTCAACTCAGTCTATCTGTGTAGTCTAGTAAAAAGTCCAGTCACAAACTTGAGTTGTACATCCTTCCCTCCACACCCATGGCTTTTGGTGTTTGAGTTTGTTTAGAATTATTTTTTTGGTGGTGTTTTTGGGGCACTCATGATTTTTATTTCCTTTTCTTTCTTTATCTTTTGTTTTTAAAATCTGTTCACAAATGGAAAAAATTACTTCATATATAGAAAAAACTGAATTGAGTGATCAGTGAAGTCTAGCTTTGCAAGAGTTACACTGAAGGGCACACGTTGCATAGACTGAGTTTGTGTTCTGTGATCAGGG